TCCTGGCTGTGTCTGCTGCAGTGACGCATGTAGCCACTAGGTGGCAGCCATGCAGCCGGAGTTCAGGAAGGCCTGTGGGGTGGGTGTTCTCTGGACACCAAGATTGGCTGCTGCTACAGGGGGCAGCTCTGCCAGACTCCAGGGCCCCAGCCAGGCTCACTCCCCTCCACCCTGCCCCCAGCAACATCCCCAACAGGTCCACCTTCACCTGCCCGTACTGCGGCGCCCGCAACCTAGACCAGCAGGAGCTGGTGAAGCACTGTGTGGAGAACCACCGCAGTGACCCCAACCGCGTGGTGAGCCCTGGCCTTTTAGGCCCCTGGCGTCTCTTGCCCTGGCCCAGGGCCCCCTGAACGTGGTGGGGGGTGAGGGCTGTGAGGTCAAACCACGCTCTCCAGATGCTGCCCTCGGGGGACCTGCCGGTCCGCCCGCCCCTCCCTCACATCCTCTCTCTGCCCAGGTCTGCCCCATCTGCTCGGCCATGCCCTGGGGGGACCCCAGCTACAAGAGTGCCAACTTCTTGCAGCACCTACTCCACCGGCACAAGTTCTCCTACGACACCTTTGTGGTGGGTGGCCCTGCGCCCCTTCTCTGTAGACTCCCCCGCCCTGCCCAAGCCACAAAACCAGCAGCTACTCTGCTGCCCTCTCCCATGAAGGGTTCGTGTCTCGGGAACTGCAGCACAGTCCTTTCCTGCAGGGGCCCGGGCAATGAGATGGTTTGTTCACTTCCTCACGTAGCCCTTCCCTCCCCTCCTTCCCACCTCTGTGGCTATCACCCAGCCAGAGGGTCCCAAACCTTCCCAGAAAGCTGGGCAGGCACAGCCTTTCTGCAAGGCTCTGTGGGAGGGGCGTCGGGGGAGGGTGTGTGTGACCAGTGGAAAGTCCGAGTGGCCAGCAGAGGGAACAGGCTGTTGTCTGCAGAGCTCCGCCCAGCACTCTGCTGTGGCCCATGGGTCCCTCTGGGAGTTAGCCACAGGGCTACCCCAGGAAGAAGCCCTCAGCCACTGCTTTCCAAGGGCGATGGACACACCTAACCCCAGACCTAAGTCCACCCCCTTCACTTCTTGGGCCTCAGCTATTCCCTCTCCGTATTAGCCCCCGGGCGAGTGACTGCAGGGTCTGGGTGACACTGCTGTTGCCCTGCCCCCAGGATTACAGCATCGACGAGGAGGCGGCCCTCCAGGCAGCCCTAGCCCTGTCTCTGTCTGAGAACTGAAGGCCCCGGCCACAAGAGTGCAGCTGCGCGCCCCTCCACGCCCGAGGACGGCTCCCTGGCGGAGCCTCTGGGAGATGAGGGGTCACCGAAGGAGCGGAGCGGGGCCAGGTGGGGCAGCCTGTAACTGAGAGGAGGTGGCATCCTTCAAAGCCACAAGGACCTGAAGGCTGGGGAGCACTGGGGCTGCCATAGAAGGCCCCGCCCACTGTGCACCCTGCCTTCCTGCCGTTGGTACTGGTGGTGGTCCCCAGAAGGCCTGGCTTTTTCTACAGCGCCCGCGTGAGATCTTTTCACCTTTTATAGTGAAAGCAGACGCTGCCTCCTCATACCGCAGTATCCGTGTTTGACTAGGAATAATATTATTTTTATGGAGCATTTACAAGATTATATTTTTAAAAAAACAACAACCAAAACGCAGCATTGTCTGGGACTGGGGAAGGGGCAGCCAGGCGGGTCTGTGGCACAGCTCTGTCCCTGGAGGCCCTCCCTGTCCAGTCATTGGTGGTTTTCACTCTCGAGAATGACGTGGAATAAGTGAGCCGCTCGCCTGTGCCCGCCAGAGCTGTAGCCAGCCCAGCCCAGGGCCCCAGCCTTGTCCTCTGGCTCCCCACCCCCGCTCAGAGGGACGGAGTGCAGGGGTAAGGGAGGAAGCACGGGCTTCATGCATAAATTATTGCTGTCTTTTTTAAAGTTTAAATAAAAGGTTTCAGAGCATCTACAGTCAAGCTTGGTGGTGGTTTCATTCCATGGTCAGGCTCCTCTGGGATCACCCTTTCTGCCTTCAGATGCCCCCCACACACCCCAAACCCTGTGCCCACACCTCACCAGGAGGCCCAGAGCTGGCTTTTCCCTCAGACAACCACAATGTCCCCCAGAGACACCCCCCCCCACACACACACACACACTGAAGTCCCCATTTTCCCCACTGCTGGTCACAGCTTGGGCCAGCATTGCATCCAGAAGGTCTCATTTGGTGGCTGGTGCTTCAGGAGGGGTCATAGGATGTGACCATGCCCACCAAGGCCACCTGGGCAGGTTTGCTCACATCCCCACGCCGTCTCCTGCCCACAGCAGGCCCAGGCCACTTTCTAGGTGCTCGCTACCTCTCAGTCCCTGAGAAGTGACCAGTAGCCAGAGGCCCCGCCCATGATGCTCCCAAGATCCTGTCCAAACGCTTGCTGTGGGCTTTGGGGACCCCAGGTCAGGTGGGGTTCAGGCAGGGGCCGCAGGAACAATGCCAACAGACACGCTGTCTGCCCTGTATCAGCACAAGCCATGGCTCCCACTGTACTCCATGTCCCCAGGGGCATCTGGGCACCCCGAAAGCAGGTCCTGACTTGGAAATGAGCGCCGCGTGGGTGTGTCAGCAGCCAAAGGGAAGGCAGGGAGCCTAGCCCAAGTGTTGTGATCAGCCCTGGATGGGGCCTGCAGAGCAGGTGGGGCAAGGACGCACAGCAGGAGGCAGACCTGGGCTCTGCAGGCTGTTGCCCATGATTCCTGGCCTTCACTGCGCTACCCCAAGCCCAAGAGGGGCTCTCACCAGACTGTGAGGGCCAAGTTCCCCAGAGTGCGGACACCCCCAGCCCCACCCACGTTAGTGGAGGGACCGGGTGCTGTCAGGCCTGGGAGAGCCCCCCTCGCCCGGGGCATCCTGGAACTCGGGACTCCTAGATTATACAAGAGGCACCGGGCCGCAGAGCGTGGGGGCTCAGCGGCGCCGCGCCAGTGAGTCCAGTGGGGAGGGCACGGCGGCCACGCGCCCCTCCCCCGTGGCGGCGCACCTGTCCTGGGCATGGCGCCGAGGCCCCGCCCTCCAGGCCCCGCCCCCGCCCGCCAAGTACCGCCTATGCTTGCGCCGGGTCCTGGTTGGCCAAGGCGGCGCGCCACGGTAGTAAACCTGGTCCTTCCCTCCCAGATCCTCGGCCCCGCCCCACCAGCGCCGGGCTGTGGTTGGCCAAATCGGCGCAATATGCTAATACATACGTCCTACCCACTGTGGCCCCGCCCCCCTCCAGGCTCGCAGCCCCGCCCCGCTCGCGCCGCACGCTGGTTGGTGGAGCTCGCGCGCTATGCTAATGAGCTTGACCCTGCCCGCACCTGACTCTGCGCGGGTCTGGCCCGCGGGCTGATCAAGTGTTCCGACGGACAGACGGACTGACAGACAGACAGAGGGGCAAGGAGGGGCCGCGTCCCAGCGCCGCCAGCCCGGAGGAGAAGATGCCGCGTTCCTTCTTGGTGAAGACGCATTCCAGCCACAAAGTCCCCAACTACGGGCAGCTGGAGACGCAGAGAGGTAGGGGCAGGTTGGCAGCAGGGCCATCTGTGTGTCCAAGTGGGGGTCCAGCAGGGCCGAGGCCAGACTGGTGGCGGATGTGGCGGCCAGGGCACTGCTCACCTCGCCTCACCTGACTCTGGGGGTTCTCCGTGACTGGAGGGAGCCTGGGTCCTCAAATCTCTCTCCCTGTGGACGCTGCCCACCCTCCCTAGAACGGCAGTCTAGCTAAGGGGGCACAGGGCCCTATTCCTGGGTCACCATGTTGGGAGGCAGGGAGACAGAGAGCTACATGGCCTGGTCCATAGGACTCCCAGAGTTCCTGGCTTGGGATGGTGGGCCAAAGGAGCCAGCGGCTCCCTCGGGTGCTCAGCTGGGGAAGGACCCCAACATCTGCCCATCCTTCTCTGGGGAAGCCCACTCCTTTGCCCGTGGACACTTGGACAGGGCTGGGCATGAGAGCTAGCCCACTGGGACCTCTCCTGGTGGAGAAGGGGGCACAATGCATTAGGCTACCTGCCCCACCCCTCCCTGCTGGCTAGGGCCACAGGGTGCCCAAGACCCTCCAGAAAGACAGACCCAGAGCTGGCAGTCCCTTGGGACCAGGACCCACTGGGGGACTGCTAGTGGCCCTGGGACAGAGAAGCAGCAGGAGGGCACCGGGAGAATGAGACCAGGCCCCCAACCAAGGCTCCCTGGAACGGGAGTCCCTGACCATCGGCCCCACCCCTCCACCACCCCACCCAGGACGGGAGGGCTGCCAAGGTGGCCACCAGGGGGCACCTTCGAGGGCTGTGCCCTTCAAATGGGAACAGTGTAACCAGGCCTCCCAGCCAGCAGAGCCACCGCCAGGGTCAGGCGTGCACGTGTGCAATGCGGCAGCAAGACCTTACATGGACCATTGTGTAAAGACCAGTCATTGCTCAGGGCCTGGTGGCACCTCGTTAGGTGTGACCTGTGCTCTGGCCAGACCTGCTCTGGCAGGGGCTGGTGTTCTGCATACCCACGCAGCCCATTCTAGCATGCTCTGTGTGGCCCCAGGGCAGGGCTCTGAAAGAACCTCAGGTGGCAAGACTTGGGCCCCCACTCTGTCCTTCACATGAAGGCTTCGTTGTGCTCCGCTCTGAGGGAGAAAGTCTGCTTTCGCACAGTTACAGGCAGGCAGTGCTGCTCTACCCGGTCCTAGAAGGTCGCTGTGAGTAGGCATTGACTCAGTGGCGTTGCCTTTGTGCTCTTTGAGGCTCCCCAGGGAAGCCCTCGGTGGAGCTTGGGGTGCATGCGCAGTGGGTGAGGACTCAGGCTGCTCACTGCAAAGGCAGGAGTTTGAACCCACTAGCCACTCCTCGGGAGAAGGATGAGGCTGTCAGCTCCTGTCAAGTCTCAGAAACCCACAGGAGCAGTTTTACTCTGTCCTATGGGGTGGATGGCTGTGGGCTGTAGGGACCCTCTGGAAGCCAGAGTGTCCCGAAAAGTCCCTTAGCACAGAAATCAGAGCTTCTGAATGAATTTTATAAGCAAGAGATGCCCAGCAGCTAGGGAATGAAACTGACAGCACCAGCTTCATCAGGAGGCCACACACCCCTGTGGCGTGTCCCCACCCATCTGCCCCCCGTGACTGCCCCTGGCTCGGCAACCATGGCTGGGCTGGGGGCATGGCGCCAAGATGGGGGCACTCCTCTCCTTGGGCAGTAATTTGCCTCCCACTCTCTGGAGCAAGACCCCCCAAAAATCTGGAATGTGGATAACCTGAGAGGGCCCAGACTAGTCTCAGCCTGTGAAGACAGAGGGAGGCTGAGGGAGGGGGCAGTAGGGCACAATGCTCCTTCTGATATGAGGTCCTGGGGGGGGCACAGGGGGGGGATGGTGGGCTGTGGGGTTAATGAGAAGGGGTGGGCCTGGGGGAAAGGGGAACAGGAAGAGAAGTGCGGGAGGTGGTTCTTCAAAAAGGAAGCAAAAGAGACCCAGAAGGAAAGGAGTCCCCTCTCCTTGTCTCCCAAGGTGTGTGTGTGGTGGGGGGGGGTGTGAATTCAGACTGACCCTTGGTCAGCAGTTGGCTTCTGGTGGCCGGGCTGTCCCTGCAGGCTAGGAGAACCCCAGGCTCCTGCCCTCACGTAGGATGCAGAGATGCTGGTCCTCTCTGCCCATCCCTCCCGCACTGCTGCCCACTGCCCAGCTGCCCGGGACAGAGGTGTGTCAGGCGGGGTTGACTAAAGAAACAAACCCAGAGATACTCAAAGAGTAATTAATTGAATATTGAGAAAACAGCTCGGTCCAGTTCAGATCAAGGCAATAAGTCTGATATTAGCCCATATGTCTGATACTAGTCCAGGAATTCCTCTTGAGACACACGCAGCACATGCAATGATGCCGAATGCAGGAAGATCACAGGCCGGGTGGAAGGTCTTGAGGACCCAGTGGCAATGGAGCGTCTCAACGCTGGCGTGGGTCTCCAATGTCTCCTCCAACTCTCTGGGGAAAGGCAAAGAGAGTGGGTCTGGCCCCCAGTGAGCTATTTATCTCCTTCACACCTCCAAATCAGCACATCTGGCTGTGATCTGATTGACAGGCTAGACCCCACCCCTACGCTCAGGTGGGCAGGAGATGATGTCACTGCCACAGGAGGAAGGCTGGGGAGATCTTCACCGGAGAATACCTCTTGGTTCCCAGGGCCCCTTCACCCCTGGGGCAGGCCAGCTGGCTCCTGGGTGTGGTAGGAGGGTCTGGAATACGTCCCCTTGTGCTTCGCATCACAGACCCTCAAAGGGGCAGCTGCAGCAAGAAACCCGAGGGTCAGCATGGAAGGTGCCCGCTGCGGGCTCAGCGATGGAAATAGACCAAGACTGCCAGGCAGTTCTCCCACGGTACCTCTGGGTGGATGAGACCCACGGGCCTTGTCGTCGGAACCGTTGTACCAGCCACCTCTGCACCCTTCATTTGGTCCAGCAAACTGCCTACTGACTGCCGCTGTGTGCCCACTCTGGCCCCGGGCGGGATGGAGGCCTAAGGTCTTCAAGTCTCTGCGCGGAGGCCTCCCACGCACGCACGCACGGCACGCCGGCCAGCTCCCTCAGTCTCTCTGCTTGGGTTGTGTTTTAACGGCTTTGTGGAAACATGATTCACGTGCCATACACTGCTTCCGTTAGCCTGCTCCCGCAGTGGTGAGGTCCCTGGACTTTCACAGGCGGGGACAACAGCCGCCGCCGTCAAGTGGATGCTGACTCATGGAGACACCACTGGACCCAGGAGCCCCACTCCCCGGAGGGCTTGCAAGGCTGTAGGCTGTGCAGAAGCAGGCGGCCTCTTCTTTCTCCCGAGGAGTGTCTGGTGGGTGTGAACTGCTGCCCTTCCAGGCGGAGCCCGACTCTTCACCCCCTGCACCAGGGCGCCTGTGTGACCGTCACTGTCTCATCTTCAGCCCCAGGGCCAAGTCCACCCCCTTTAGCTGTGACCTCCAACGTTGCTCCTGGCAACTCCTGCCTTCCACTCTGTTGTCTCACTGACCCCGGCGGGGGACAGAAACAGAATCAGGTGCCCTCCAACCGGTTTTACCTGGCCCCTCCCACTCAGCACAGGGTCTCGGAGGGTTCCTCATGCCTCTTTCCTGTTCACGGCTGGGTGCTATTCCACCACGCGGCTCCCGTGTGTCTGCCCACCGCCGGTGGTGCACCCCTGAGCACTGTCTCCTTTCGTCACCACGCGGTGCCCAGTGCTCCCTTCCTCTCTGGGTGCGGGCTCACACCCCCGAGCGCTTAGATAGCTGGCCACATGGCAAAGAGGGGGTTCGCTTTCCAAAGTGACCGCACCTGTGGCATGGTCACCAGCAGCGTGGGAGAGCCCTGGTTTTCGCCCTGGTTGTGGCCCTGGTTGTAGTTCTGGTGGTCACCCTGGTGGTCACCCTGGTTGTGGCATGTGGTTTGGCAGTGTGCAGGGGGAGACCAGAATTCAGCTCGGACTTTCAGAGCAGCCTGCCGCCTCTGGAACATGTTGGATTTCCCTCAAAAAGCCAGTCCTGGTGGACAGCACAGCGCCACGAAACTGCAGCACCACGCAGTGCAGGGAGCCTGGTGGTGGAAAGGGTCTCTGACCACCCCGCTGACCCTCACTGGCAGCCTGGTGGGTGGGCTGAGGTACACTCAGCAGTGAGCGGCCAGGTCTCCCACCTCTGTGAGGCCCTCACATTGTGGAGGGGGTCCGGGGGATGGGGACAAGGGCAGTCCCCACAGGGCAGTGGGGCAGGTAGTGTGAGATGGGGGGGGGGGGCCTGTTAGAAGGGAGGGTCTGTTGAAGACCCCCTACAGGCCGTTCAGCACTGGCGGCCATGGTAGCCCCGGCCCTGACCATCCCCAGTGAGGGGCTGACCCTCGAGGTGGGGGAAGGTCTCCACAGAGGCGGGTTCATCCTCACTGATCACTGTGCCCCCCCTCCCTCTAGAGACCAGCGGCTCCTGCTCCACCTGTGGGGTGCCCCTCCTCCCAGACAAAGAGGCCCACCCCCAACTGGGTGAACTGCCCCGGCCCTGGGACTGCACCCCCACCGGCCCCCACCTCCCTCTGCCCCTCCCGCATGACAATGGAGTAAGGCAGGCTGCCAGCCCCAGCCCCCTGGGGGTCAGCCTGGTGGACCCAGGGGCTGGCCGAGCCCCCAGCACACCGCTCAGGGATAGCCTGAACCAGCTCAACCTGCGCCCACTGCTGCTCCTGCCCACACGGTGGCTGCCCACCCCTGGCCCTGGCGGGGACAGGGCTCTGGACAGACTGCTGTGTGTGGCTGTGGGGGCCCCCCGGCCCCCTGGCTGCCTTGAGCACCTGGACTTCCAGGCCTCGGCCGGACTGGCCAGGCAACTGCAGCTGCACCGTGAGCCACTGCCCAGGCGCTGCTTCGGATGCAAACAGTGCACCAAGGAGTACCGCAGCCTGGGCGCCCTCCGCATGCACCTGCGCACCCACACGCGGCCCTGCATCTGCACGCTCTGCGGCAAGGCCTTCTCCCGGCCCTGGCTGCTGCAGGGACATGTGCGCACACACACAGGTAGGGCGTGGGACGGGCAGCTGGGCAGAGGGGGCACCCAGGGGCAAGTGAGCAGGGGTGGGGGTGGGAAGGGCACCACATGGGTAGGGGTTACGGGCAAGTGGGTCCTCATGGGCATGGATCGGGGTGGGGGGGACCCCACGGGGGCAGTAGGGGTCCACATGAGCAGAGCCCACACCAGCAGGAGGTAGGTAGGGGAGGGGAGGAGCCCTCTGTCCAGGAATTGAAGTTGGAGGCAGGGAGGGGAGTGGGGGATAGGAGCCCCCAGGGATGTGGTGGACCACCCACAGGGGCTGCTGCCCAGCCACAGAGGGCAGCACAGCCCTGACAGGCACTGTGATGTGGACACATTGGTCAGCATGGCCCTGAGGGGCCATAGCCCTTGTGGTGGCCAGGGGCCGGGCGATGGTCCTGCTGACAGGAATTGCCCAGGGCTGCAGGGGCTAGCGGGTGGGGGTGGGGGGCATGCTAAGGTGGCCAGGCCCAGCCACTGGGCAGGGAGAGCAGCTGGGAGTCTACTTTACCCTCAAGCCGAGCAAGGAGACAAAGGCCACAGGATGCAAAGGAGACAAAGCAACCAGCCCCACAAGGCCCCTACCCCACCCCCACCCAATTCACAGCCACCCTGCAGGACAGCCTAGAGCTAGCTGCCCATGGTTCCCAAGGCCACCCCTCTTTACTGGGAAGCCTCCTGTTCCTTCCACAGAGTGGTTGGTGGTTTTGAACCGCTGACCTTAGGCTCTTAGCTGAGCCCTTCCAGCCACTGCCCCACCTGGCTTGTTTGTGGGAGACGCTCCGGGAGTGAGAGCCAGCAGCAGAAGATGGGGAGTTGTGAGCCTCTTGTTGAACATGCCTGGGAGGTTAGGCGGGAACCAAGCCCACGAGAAGGCGGGGTACACTGCCCCCCAGCCCACCTGCTCACCAGGCTGGTCCTGGTGTAAGAGGCAGGTCTCCCTCTCAGAAGCAAGAGTTGCAACACACACATTTTTGCAACTAAGGCTCCTGACCCGCGGTCAGGGCCCTGCGGCTGGCATGCCGAGTCACCCCCATGGAGATGGAGCGGGGGGGGGGGGGGGGCATGCAGAACCCCAGAGGAGCATTGAGCAGAGACAAGGTGGAAGGAGTGCCCTCGGCCTCTGTGGCAGGTTCCAGATGTGAAAGGGCTTTGGAAAGTCCATGGGAAAATCCCATTTGCTTTTCCTCCCATTGCCCCACGCATGTTCGGAATCCCTGCCCCGAGCACCTCATGTCCTCAGCGCCCCCACCCCCACCCCTGTGCCCTCTGGGTTGTCTGAGGTCTCCTCCTAGGCAGGGGCAGGGCAAGGCTGGTGAGTGAGCCCTTGGGAGAAGAGAGAGAAGCTGTTCGTTGACAAGAAAAACCGAAAGAAAATAAAGAGAGAGAGAGAGTAACCGAAGAAAGCAAACCAACGGCCATCAAGTTGATTCTGACCCATAACGACCCTATAAAGGGTTTCTGAGACTGTAAATCTTTACAGCCGCAGAGACACTCCTCTTGCTCCTGAAGAGCACAGGGGGGCTTAAACTGCCAACCTCAGGGCACGCACCCGGCACTGCCGCTTGGCAACTGGTTTACAAGAGGGGCCTGTAAACGCCTCCTTTGTCCTGACACCAGAAGCACTGGATGGTGCCTGGCCACTCTCCATGCTGATCAGAGAGTGGGGGGGCCTGTGGAGCAGGGTTCCCAACGCTGGTTGAATCCAGCCCCTCTCAAGCCAGGCGCCTGGATGAGCCGAAACAATGGCCCGAGACCACCTTTAAACTTACAGACAAAAGCAGTTCAGCTTAACCGTTGGTGGCGTTGTAAGAACACGTCTGCCTTGAACAGGGTGCTCTTTTAAGAACTCCTGATGGGAGAGCAGACGGACAGATGAGCTGGGGCCCTGCGGGGGCCGGCATGCGTGTCAGTGGGGGGAGTGTGAGCGTGGTGGGCTCGCAGAATGCTGTCCCAGTGGCTGAGCTGTAGGGCAGAAACTGTCAGTTGTTGTGTGTGCTGCTGTGAGCGTCCCCCACAGCCCTGGGCTGTGCCTGACAGACGGCCCACCGCTGCCCATCTTTCTCCACAGGTGAGAAGCCCTACACCTGCTCGTACTGCAGCAGGGCCTTTGCCGACCGATCCAACCTGCGGGCCCACCTGCAGACACACTCAGACACCAAGAAGTACCAGTGCAAGGGCTGTGCCAAGACCTTCTCCCGGATGTCCCTGCTGGTTCGTCACAAGGAGTCAGGCTGCTGCCCGGGCCCCTGAGTGTTGAAGAGCACTGAGGGGGCACCCCCCAGGCTGGTGTACCCCTTGGACACGCACCTCCCCTGCCTCGCCCCTTGCCTCCGGCTCTGCTACTGCCTCTAGTCAGATGCCCCCGGGCTGCCATCCAGACCCCTGCCCCTGCCCCTGGCGGCGGCCTGTACAGGTACCCCTCCAAACCAGCACTCTGTATCAGCTGTGCCTTGGTTGGCCTCCTGGGGCTGGGGGGCGACCAGCAGCTCTGGAAGGGTCTTCAGGCTTGGCTCCCCTAGGGGTATCTGGTGTGGGCTCACCATTAAGACAGCCTGTGGTTGGGGACTGGGCCTCACTGTCCCCTGCCGGCCTGCACATTTACCTCCCTGAGATGGCACAGGACATTCAGAGCTGGTCCCTGTGGCCGGACTGTCCAGGGGAGCCTCAGCCCCTGGACTCTGGCCCTGAGAGGGGCTGGGCTGGGGAAATAAAGAGTCCCCACTGCCACGTGCAGAGTCTTGGTCTTGCCCACCCGTGTTGGATGGGGGGCTCTGCTGCCCGGGGGCAGCGTGGACCAGAGGGGGATGTGGTGAAGGGGGTTAGGCTGAAGGAGGGAAAGAGGAGCCTGATGCGCCAATGAGCTGGCAGGATGGGTTCAGGGCTGCCAGGAGGCCATGGGGCACCTACGACCAGCACCAAGCAAGCCCCTAGGCCGTGTGTCTGGGTGTCCTGGACCCTCACCAACACCAAGAAGCCCTGATCTCCTTGCCCCCCAACCCCTCGCCCCGTACCAGGTGGCCTCGGGTCCCTTTCACAGGCCTGGGCCTGGCCTTAAAGTCCAGCACGAGGGGTCCGTGGAGTCCTTGGGCCCAGTTCAGCTGCTGGGCACACTGGCTGCTCTGCAGGACGCTGGCCTGGCCCCAGGACTCGTGGCTGGCACCTTATAGAGCCATGGACCAAGTGGGCTGGAGCGACCAGCTCCCTGTCAGAGGATATTTTACAATGCTCGCCAGGGCTGGCCGGCCGGCCGGGGCTCACAGCACACCGGCCAGGGTCAGTCTTAGCCAAGGACAGGACTGGCCGGGGCTGAGCCACTATCTCAGGTGGCTGGAGAGGCCAGGGGCTGGCTTGGTGGGGGTCATTGAGAGGCCTCAGGGACATCCTGTTGAAAGTGGACTTTGATCCTGGGCTTCTCTGCACACCCCAAGCCCAGGGTTGGGTGCAGGCGCTGGCGAAGCGTCACTGCTGTCCTCAGAGGCCGGGGCTCAGAGCCACCCGCAGCGATGGTGGGGATGGAAGACAGGTGCCCAGCTAATGAGAACGGGAATTGGCAGCAGGGTACCTCATGCTTGGAGCTACTCACCCACTGAGCCCAGCAACCCTGCAGGACAGCTTGGGGCTACCCCTGTGTGTTTCCGAGACTGCAACTCTGTGTGGGAGCAGGGAGCCTCATCTTTCTTCCCCAGAGGGGCTGGTGGGTTTGAACCGCTGACGTCTCAGAAGTCCAATGCACAACCACTGTGCCCTCAGGCTCCTTAGCTTGTAGCAAGGGATGCTGAGCCCCAACTGCTCATGGCCGCCGGGATGGTGGGCATCATCTGAGCCGGCACGGCCTCAGAGATTCCTGTAGTGGCCTCCCCTGTGGAAGCTGCTGCTGGGAGGCTGGTCTCTGTCCCCCTCGGCTGACCCCAGGCTAAACGTGGAACCCAAGGTAGCGCCTCGGGGAACAGTGAGGACAGCTTTCTGCCTCGCTGGTAAGGGGGTGGGGTACTCCCTCAACTACCTCTGCTTACAGCCCTCAGTCTGGGGCTGGGGCAAGGCTTGAGCCTGGGAGGGAGCCTGGATCTGGGGGGCGGCCCTCAGCCTGGGAGGGGGAGCCTTGGCCTGGGCGGGCCCAGGCAG